TTTGACCATTTAGTATGATATTGGCTATTGGTTTTTCGTAGATGGCTTCTATCAGTTTGAGGTCGAGACCATCTATTCCAATTTTTTGTAGGGTTTTTATCATAGATGCATATTGGATTTTGAAAAAAAAAAAAAAGAAAAAAAAAAAGAAAACCACAAACTAATGCAATATATATACAAGGAGCAGAAAGTCAATATGAGATGACATGAATAAATCCAAGTAACTTGTGAGAAATAATAATCTTTATTTTCTAAATCAGAGTGCTTTTTAAAAACACTGTACATATCATTAAACATACTGAATCATTCCAAATTTTTGAATTTAAAAAATTTTACTTTTATATCCATATTGTTATAACAGAAAATTTGTATGTGAGAATAAATTACTATCATTCTGTGTTAAGAGCAAAACTGAAAGTGGGAATTTTTTCCTTTTTTTATTATTCTTACCATTTCTGTAGTTGGTCTGGCTTGAAGTTTCTTAGTCACCACTGATTCACCGTTTCCTTCAATCTCTAAAGCTACCCAGGGGCTAAATCTTGCATCTTTTACTTTTTTAACATCTGAAATTCTTTCTGAAAGAAGATGGTGTTGAAATAAAGTCTAGGCATAGATATCTTGGTTATTTATCTTGGTCTCTTGTATGTTTTGTGCCCATAGCAGGAAGATTGTGTACATAATAATTACTTCTCTCCAAAGCAACTCCAGTACTCAGAGAAACATCAAATATTACAAATAAAGACACACAAACCATTCTAATTCTTCTTCTGAAATTGTATTTTGCACTTGTTTCTCTCAATTCCCTTTGTTAAGTTTTAATATCTCCTAAGTCTCAGTTCAAAGCTGCATTCTTCCTTTCCTGGTGTGCCCTTGTTTTAGTTGGATGTATATTTAGGCTGACTCTTTTTCTTAAATAACTATAATGGAGATAAGATTTCAAATGATTTTTTTGTTAGCTTTTTTGAGTTAAGCTTTTGTGTCTTCTGATTTTATCATCCATCTGAATTAATTTTCATAGGAGAAATGCCAACAGGTAGACTAAAGTGATATTCAATTTTAATATTTGATGATTCATAAAAGAATGATGCAAACTATTGTCTTGAACAAGGATTCCTGTATCTCTTTGTCAAATTAATCACTGAACACTTGAACACAATTTTTTTCATGCGGCCTAAGAGAGACCCTGTGTATCTGGTGGGAATAGGAAGGAAGGAGGTTAGGGTATAGCAGAAGTAAAAGGAAAGCCTGACCACCTTCTAGTCCAGGGGACAGTGCAAAAATGGAGAAGGAGAGAAAGAATGAAGAGAGTGAAGTACTTTTGGAGATGTGTGCTTCACAGCAAATGAAGTTCACTTGATCTTAGCCAAAAGACCAAGAAGCATGGGCCAAATTAACTTCAAGAAAAATATGAACCTCAGTTACATAGAAGCAAGCTGGGCAGAAGGTGGGCTCTGGGCTTAGCATTCCAGGATGTCCTTTCTCTTACATGATGCAAATGCAAAATTGAGAAGTGAAGGATCTGCCATGTTGTATGTGATGGCAAGGTAAGGTGACCTCACATCAGAGTCCAGTGCCCTGATGGGCCAGGGCTGGCAGAAGGCCATGGCAGACATTCAAGAGTCTTCAGCCTGTGGGAGCTAACTTGAGGCTGACTCAGCAGGAAGTGATAATCCTGCCCAAACCAGGGGAGGGCAGATCACTAGTTACACTGTTCTCAGATTTCAGCCTTGAAGGCCAGGAGACACCCAGGGGACAAGGAACATGGCCCTGGAGACCAGAAGAGATAGAGGACTTCATGCTCTAAGAGCCTGTATTTTTCCCACCACCATGAGGATGTTAATTTTCCTTCTTATCATTCACCAGGGAACTATCTTGGGAAGGAAACAGGAGAGGCTATTCTAAAAGACTAAACATTTAGGGTTTTTATCCTGATGAGCAATTATTTTCTAATTTTGAGTGCTAGTGGATTACAATAAAACCTTTGATCAAAGCGTATATATATCTATATATAGTGTCTGTTGTATATATTTCTGTTGTATGTAATTTCTGTTAACTAGAGGATGGGGATTTGAAAGCCAAAGTAATTAAGAAATTACATATTTTAGACTTTTTGACTTGTGTGTAAATTAAATATTTCACTTCACTACAACTTTTTTCTGATATTAAAAGAAATTTGTTTTAATTATTAAAAATTTTAAAAATAAAAATATCTATGATTACTGAAGATATGCCCATAGCCAACACTTTTGTGAATGTTTTTCAGATCTTACTTCAATACATATGTATTCATTTGTTAGGCTGAACACTATGAAATTAGAGATATTTTATTGTTTTTGACTTATAAAATTTGAGATATTTTTGGTTAATCCTAATGCATTTAGTATGGGTACACACATGCACATACATAGAGACACATAAACACACCACTGTGCTCTAGGTGAACATAGGTAAACATATACATTCTTCCTTACAAAAATGGGATTTTATTATTTTGTAATGAATTTTCCACTTAATGTGCTGTGAATATCTTTATACATAAGCTTTCTGAGGCCATTTTGAATTGATTAAATGTTATCTGTGATAAAATGTGCCATATTTATTAGATAAATAATAAAAGATATCTACTAGTAAATAATGACTAAATATCTATTGTTGGGTACTTAGGATTTTATAATTTTTGATGTCGGAAATAACATGATAATATATAAACTTATAGCTAATATTTAAACATATTCATAATTATTGCCTTAGAATAAATGTATATAGCTAATATCACTGGATTGATGGAGATATAGTATTTTAAAGTTTCTGCCCATGTGGTGGGTTGATTTGCAGGCTGGCCTTGGCCACTAATTCTCATGCACAGTTTTAGCCTCAGAACTAGTTGTTAGAATAAATGTTGAAGTCTTTGAATCTGCTGGGTTTTTTTCCCCTGAAATATTTATCATAAACATTTCATGGACAGTTTAGAGTTAGAAAGATCTTGATGATTTAGTTGATTTTCTTAAACAATGAGGATACTGACATTCTCACCATGCTGTTAAGTTTCTCAATGTCACAGAACAGATGAGGGCAGGATGTAGGGCTCCTTAATGCTGACTTCTAGTCTGCATGTGTCTCCATAGCCCCTCAGTCCTAATGGAGCTCTCAAGCCTCTGATAGACCAGATCTCTAGTGTGGTAGGGGAACCATTAAAATAGGTACATACTAGCTGGAGTGCTATATCCAATTTTCTGTCCTCTTCCTTTTCTATTTCTGGCCTCTAACTCTTTTTATGTCACTTTTTAAGAACTGATAGACTTATTGTGAAAAATTACAATGCCTCTTTTATACAGTATGTAATTTAAAAATCTCCTAATGATTTAAAACGTATTTTAAATGCCATATTCTGATTGTCACCTTCAAACTTCTAAACTATTAAAACTTGGCAGTGCAACTAGGAGGATCTAACAAGTAAATTCAAATGTTTGATACTGATTAGAATTGGCCTAAATGATAACTTCAAAAGGAAAATAGATTAGAGAACTAGCATATCAGTGCTATGTGTTAGATTGTATATTTTATTTCATTTATTCCTCAGATAAACATTATATGATATTCTTTTATTATACAAGCTAATTGAAGTTGTTACCAGTTTAGGACCACTTCCTTAGAAACCTAAGTGGATCTGAATTGAAAAATATGTTTGTTACTGTTTACAGGAGATGTATTGACAAAGCAAGTCATTACTTCTCTTGATACTTTTCTTTTTTGTAAACTCAAAAAGCAAGCTAAGACACTTTAGGACTTGAAGTTCACATAGCAATCCTTGGTATTGCTTTAAATATTTTCTTGCAGAGGGGAAAAAAAAGACTAGTGAAGTGAGAAGATTATTCATGACTCCAGTTAGGAAATAGGTCATCTCAGCTATGCCTCATCAGTGTTGAGAAGCAGGCTCTGGTTTTCAATACAGCTGTCTGGCAATTTATCTTTGTTAGTGAAACACCATGCCCATTAATCTATGAGCAGATGTCTACTAAGCTTTTTGTCATATCATCTGACAGCTGACCAAAGGCATAAGAGTATGTGTGTGTTGAGGGATGTTGGGTAGGTGGGAAGACTAGGTAGCACTGAGCTGAGTGCCTAGGCATTTCAACATTTACCCATTAGTAGGGACAAAGGGAGAGAGAGAAAAAGAGAGGTAAGGGAGGGAGGGAGGACGAGAGAGAAAGAGAGAGAGAGAGAGAGAGAGAGAGAGAGAGAGAGAGAGAGAGAGGGAATCTGTAAAAATGCTTTGAACAGGTAGTACTGGTGTTTTTCCTAGGGAACAGGCCAACTATAAACCTGCTAATTCCAGCTCATTTCTATCTGCCAGCGACTAGCTTTCTTTGCTGGAGGGTTGGATGGAAAATGCCAGTAATTCTAGGGAGAAGCCTATGGTATCAGCAATTTTGATAATTTTGGACTTTCTAGACCCCAGAACTGTGAGCAATAAATTTTTGTTGCTTATAATCCTGCTAGTCTATGAAAGTTTGTTACACCAGCCTAAACTCACTCAGAAACTGAGGACACAAGATTTCTGAAATTTGGTGAGAAAGTAATCTAGAAATGAGTGTTGGGTAGTTTTTATAACAGACTCCAAATAGAGAGCTTCTCTCTGAGTTCAGTGAATTCATCAAAAGGAGATGATGCTTCAGTACATATTCCTATATTTTTAAGAGTCAGCAAAATGTTTTTTTTGTATTAAATTCTTTTATTGGTACATTGTAGGTGTACAACACAATTACATTTCTCATCGGGAATTGTACCTTTATATAATGCATCTTGTTTCTTATTTTTTCCCCATTCCTAGCCCTCCCTTCATGCCCTCCACCCTTCCCTATTTACAAAGACTTT